CACAGGTGCAAAAACGCAAAATGCAACGCAAAAGCAATGCAGAAAAGGGTCAAATGCAAACTGCAGAGGTGTGAACGTAGACTTAAGGAGAACTCCACCCATGATTACTGGGAGGCAAGGCTAGTGTGAGGTGGATGCTATTGGGCTGCTTGAAAAAAGGAAATATAACTTGTTTTGCACTTACATTGCTATATAATTTTGCTCCAACTGTCTTCTTTTAGCCCCGGTTAGCACTTTGCAAGCGACTTGCGACACATAAAGCCTCAGGACAATTGAAAACCCATTGATTTCAATTGCGGCCGTTCCAATCAAGTCGTATCGGTTCCTGCACTACTTACAGTAGATGCAACTTTCATGCGACTTGAGTGCCATAGACTCCCCAAGTCGCATTAAAAACGCAAGCTAGTTGCACTGCATATTCGTGCTGGAAATTGCATGATGTCCGCGCCCCCCCCCCCCCTAAAAATTGCCGCCCTAGGCAAACGCCTTGTTTGCTTCGCAGTCGATACGCCCCTGATGACAATGGGGTCCCGGCGGTGTGAACCCAGCCTTAGAAAGGAATGAGGAATACAAAAATTAATATAAATGTGAATATCAGGGGAGATTTTTGTTCAAGCTTTACAGCAGCCCTGGAAGGGAAGGAAGGAAATGGGGGTGCAGTTTAGGAAGGTATGTGTGCTATCTATATACATACATTCAGATTCTATGAAAAAAAACAGCAGAGTTATTTTTTTCATTATCATTGAGATATACAGTAGATACGGTACGATGGCCTCTGTGAAATGACAAACATTTTCATTTGTTGATAATTGTATCCTCTAAAAATAAACCTCTTACTTCTGCATCCTTGGAAGTTCCCAGCGCCGAGGCCAAAAAATCCAGCCTTGCATCGGTCACATCGGGGACCTTCAACAAAGTCTTTGCATCGGCACTGGCCAGCAATGAGACCCAAAATTGGATCGTCCTGAGCGTCGCAGAGTCCTCCGTTAAGAGAGCCATCTGGGTCGCAGTCACAGGCTGCAGAGAACCAATCAGAAAACTGTTACATATGTTAAAAAGGTAACATCTCAGATTCTGGATAATGGTGGTACAGGGTTGTGACGGGAGTCACTTTGTGTGGGGGGCCCCCATGGATCCCAGCTCGCTTTGGAGAGGTGGGGAAACCCCTGTCTCAGCTCCCCATATCCCTCTTATGTATAAGTCACCCTGTGCCTGTTAGGGGTACAGGGTGATCTGTCCTAATATTGTGTAGATAGGAGATAGGTGGGGTGGGGTTTGTGAATTGTTTAATGCCATGTGGCTGCATCCCATTGTTCTATTGTGTGTCTTGCTTGGGAGCAAACTATTATAGGATGTATGTGTTTATGTGTATTGGCTTGGTGGGGGGTGTTTCCAGCAGTCCTCCTCCTGCCTACTGATGGGACTGTCTGCTGGTGTGTCTCTTGTTACTAAATGTAGATTGCCCCGCCCTGTGTCATTATGCGGGGGGGAGGGGGGGGTTGTTCCCTTGAATGTATATATCTTGTATCTGTGTTAAAATAAAGTAGTCTATTTCCTGATTTACTTCAAGACTGGTGTCGTCTAGTCTTGTATGGTCAGCGGTGGTGTCTGTGGTCGGTGTTCGGACGGTGAAGTGGTATTATAACTTAAGTACCCAAGCGCAGACTGGGTCAGTTCCGTTACAAGGGTAATGCAGCCACCTGGAGTGTGTGTGACCCCTCCACGCTGTCAGGTATGTACAAAATACGGACCTGGAAGCGAAAGGGTTAAAGCTGTTGGGAGCTGTCTTTGACCTTTGACATTGATCCGCTAGGGTCACATGGCCATATTAGATCAATGTCATTGACCATTTTCTGTCAACTTCATTCTGTGTTCCAAACCCAAACTTAACTCAGACCCATGCTCATCCCTAATCCTAACATAAATTCTACGCCCAAATCAAGGAAACGCAGCAGGAGAGCAGTCAGCAGAGTCAGGACACTACATGAGGGAGCAGTGCTTTGAGTAAAGTGTTACTAAACCCACAACAGTACAATCAGTCTGTAGATGCAGTAAAGCATGCTTGTTATACTCACTCTGGGACCTAAGGGGTTAATCCTTTTCATTGTGTAAAAAGGCTGTTTGAACCTGTCTTCTTTGCTCCTCTCCTTCATGTACTGTCCCCAATATATCTGAGGATAGTAAAGAGCTCTAGGAGTCACTCTGCACATGCTCATTTTAATGTGTATTGCTAGAGAGTTTATTTTTTCTTTGGGAGGGTGCATGTGATCAGCACAGGGCCAATCAGCACTGTCCAGACAGAGGATCAGAGTCTGACACTGATAGAAGTCCTCAAAGACTGCTATATACTGCTGTTGAGAAAAAGTATTTAGCAGTTTATATTTACTAAAATAATTGCATTTCCATGTTGTGTGTACTGTGGGACCAGATATAGTGAATGCAGGGTCCGGGGAGACCAGATATAGTGAATGCAGGGTCCGGGGTGACCGGATATAGTAAATGCAGGGTCCGGGGAGACCGGATATAGTGAATGCAGGGTCCGGGGAGAGCGGATATAGTGAATGCAGGGTCCGGGGAGACCAGATATAGTGAATTCAGGGTCTGGGGGGACCAGATATAGTGACTGCAGGGTCCGGGGAGACCGGATATAGTGAATTCAGGGTCCGGGGAGACCGGATATAGTGAATGCAGGGTCCGGGGAGACCGGATATAGTGACTGCAGGGTCCGGGGAGAGCGGATATAGTGAATGCAGGGTCCGGGGAGAGCGGATATAGTGAATGCAGGGTCCGGGGAGACCAGAAATAGTGAATGCAGGGTCCAGGGAGACCAGATATAGTGAATGCAGGGTCCGGGGAGAGCGGATATAGTGAATGCAGGGTCCGGGGAGACCAGATATAGTGAATGCAGGGTCCAGGGAGACCAGATATAGTGAATGCAGGGTCCAGGGAAAGCGGATATAGTGAATGCAGGGTCCGGGGAGACAAGATATAGTGAATGCAGAGTCCGGGGAGACCAGATATACTGAATGTAGGGTCCGGGGAGACCAGATATAGTGAATGCAGGGTCCTGGGAGACCAGATATTGTGAGACCAGATATTAGTGAATGCAGGGTCCTAGGAGACCAGATATAGTGAATGCAGGGTCCGGGGAGACCAGATATAGTGAATGCAGGGTCCGGGGGAGACCAGATATAGTGAATGCGGGGTCCAGTGAGACCAGATATAGTGAATGCAGGGTCCGGGGAGACCAGATATAGTGAATGCGGGGTCCGGGGAGAGTGGATATACACCGTGTTCCAAATTATTATGCAAATTATATTCTTCTCATTTACCTAAATAATTGATGTAAATAACAGTCGGCATAATTCTCATGTTATCAACTATAAGAGTACAATTCACATTTTATTGAACAAACCTCCTAATGATAACAGGATTTTGTTCCAAATTATTCCGCACAGGAAGTTTCAAAACACTTTATAGGTTGTAAAGAACTGAAAATTGTCATTTGTTGTGTTTGCAGCATATTTACTGAAATCAAAAGCTATTTCAATCAAACTTTTAACAACATTTTAACTTTTTTAAACATTTGAAGCGGTCACGTTACAATGTAACATAGGACCCCTTATCTGATAGCAGATCACAAGTCTTACATCCATTGAACTTGTGAGTTTTTGACAGTTTCTGCTTGAATTTGTTTGCAAGATGTCAGAATAGCCTCCCAGAGCTGCTGTTTGGATGTAAACTGCCTCCCACCCTCATAGATCTTTTGCTTGAGGATGCTCCAAAGGTTCTCAATAGGATCGAGGTCAGGGGAGGATGGAGGCCACACCATGACTTTCTCTCCTTTTTATCCCCATAGCAGCCATTGATGCAGAGGTATTCTTTGCAGCAAGAGATGGTGCATTGTCATGCATGAAGATGATTTATTACAGAAAGCATAGTTCTTCCTTCTGTACCAGGGAAGAAAGTGGTCAGTCATAAACTCCACATACTTTGCAGAGGTCATCTTTACACCTTCAGGGACCCTAAAGGGTCCGACCAGCTCTGTTACCATGATTCCGCCCAAACATGACTCCACCACCACCTTGCTGACGTCGCAGCCTTGTTAGAACAGGGTGGGACCGTCCACCAACCATCCACTACTCCATCCATCTGGACCATCTAGGTTAGCACGACACTCATCAGTGAACAGGACTGTTTGAAAATTAGTCTTCATGTATTTTTCTGCCCAATGCAGCCGTTTCTGCTTGTGAGCATTGGTTTGTGGTGGCCGAATAGAAGGTTTATGCACAGTTATAGGACTCTGGAGGACTCTACACCTTGATGTCCGTGGGACTCCAGAGGCACCAGCAGCTTCAAATATCTGTTTGCTGCTATGTAATGGGATTTTAGCAGCTGCTCTCTTGATCCGATGCATGGATCTGGCAGAAAATCTTCCTCAATGTGCCTTTATCTGCACCAACCCGTCTGTGCTCTGAATCAGCCACAAATCTCTTCATAGTGCGATGATCACGCTTAAGTTTTTGTGAAATATCGAATGTTTTCATACCTCGTCCAAGGCATCGAACTATTTCACTCTTTTCGGCAGCAGAGAGATACTTTTCTTCCTCATATTGCTTGAAAAATGGTGCTCTGCTTAATAATGTGGAAACATCGTCCTTTAGTAGTTTTTCCTTAAATTGGGCTCACCTGTCAATCTAATTATCACAGGCGTCCGAGATTGTTTTCAGTGATCAAAAGAGCCCTGACACACAATGCCATCCATGAGCTAAACTGAAAAAAACAAGATATTTAATCTTTGTGACACTTAAATTGAATTTGCATAATAATTTGGAACAGGGTGTAGTGAATGCATGGTTCGGGGAGACCGGATATAGTGAATGCAGGGTTCGGGGAGACCGGATATAGTGAATGCAGGGTCGAGGAGACCAGATATAGTGAATGCAGGGTCAGGGGAGAGCAGATATAGTGAATGCAGGGTTCGGGGAGACCGGATATAGTGAATGCAGGGTTCGGGGAGAGCGGATATAGTGAATGCAGGGTCTGGGGAGACCAGATATAGTGAATGCAGGGTCCGAGGAGACCAGATATAGTGAATGCAGGGTCTGGGGAGAGTGGATATAGTGAATGCAGGGTCCGGGGAGACCGGATATAGTGAATGCAGGGTCCGGGGAGACCAGATATAGTGAATGCAGGGTCCGGGGAGAGCGGATATAGCGAATGCGGGGTCCGGGGAGACCAGATATAGTGAATGCGGGTCCGGGGAGACCAGATATAGTGAATGCAGGGTCTGGGGAGACCAGATATAGTGAATGCAGGGTTCGGGGAGACCGGATATAGTGAATGCAGGGTTCGGGGAGAGCGGATATAGTGAATGCAGGGTTCGGGGAGAGCGGATATAGTGAATGCAGGGTCTGGGGAGACCGGATATAGTGAATGCAGGGTCCGGGAGACCAGATATAGTGAATGCAGGGTCTGGGGAGACCGGATATAGTGAATGCAGGGTTCTGGGGAGACTGGATATAGTGAATGCAGGGTTCGGGGAGAGCGGATATAGTGAATGCAGGGTTCGGGGAGAGCGGATATAGTGAATGCAGGGTTCGGGGAGAGTGGATATAGTGAATGCAGGGTCTGGGGAGACCAGATATAGTGAATGCGGGGTCCGGGGGAGGAGACCAGATATAGTGAATGCAGGGTCTGGGGAGAGTGGATATAGTGAATGCAGGGTCTGGGGAGAGCGGATATAGTGAATGCAGGGTCCGGGGAGAGTGGATATAGTGAATGCAGGGTCCGGGGAGAGACCAGATATAGTGAATGCAGGGTCTGGGGAGAGCAGATATAGTGAATGCAGGGTCTGGGGAGAGTGGATATAGTGAATGCAGGGTCCGGGGAGAGGACCGGATATAGTGAATGCAGGGTCTGGGGAGCGCAGATATAGTGAATGCAGGGTCCGGGGAAGACCGGATATAGTGAATGCAGGGTCCGGGGAGACTGGATATAGTGAATTCAGGGTCCGGGGAGACCGGGATATAGTGAATTCAGGGTCCGGGGAGACAGGATATAGTGAATGCAGGGTCCGGGGAGACAGGATATAGTGAATGCGGGGTCTGGGGAAACCAGATATAGTGAATGCAGGGTCTGGGGAGACCAGATATAGTGAATGCAGGGTATGGGGAGAGCGGATATAGTGAAGGTAGGGTCCGGTGAGAGCGGATATAGGGAATGCAGGGTCCGGGGAGACCGGATATAGTGAATGCAGGGTCCGGGGAGACCGGATGTAGTGAATGCAGGGTCTGGGGAGACCAGATATAGTGAATGCAGGGTCCGGGGAGAGCGGATATAGTGGATGCAGGGTCCGGGGAGGCCAGATATAGTGAATGCAGGGTCCGGGGAGAGCAGATATAGTGAATGCAGGGTCCGGGGAGAGCAGATATAGTGAATGCAGGGTCCGGGGAGACCAGATATAGTGAATGCAGGGTCCGGGGAGACTGGATATAGTGAATGCAGGGTCTGGGGAGAGCGGATATAGTGAATGCAGGGTCCGGGGAGAGCGGATATAGTGACTGCAGGGTCCGGGGAGAGCGGATATAGTGACTGCTTGTACGGGATGAATAAACTACTATGATGCTCCACAGCACCGTGGTAGTTCATTGAGGACTACAAACTGACAGCAGCTAAGGCTGTTGGGACTTGTAGTCTCTCATTCACATATGACTGTGAATGAATGACATGGCAGTGTAGGCAGAGCTAGAAAGGGGGAGGAGAAGATCCCCCATTAACTGTCAAAGCGGGGATTGGGGGGAGCAGGGGGCCGGTCTGAATGTAACATGTTACAGGTTACACCCTGAACATGGGTGTAACTTGTAACATGTTGCGAAAGGTGAATTTATCCTTTCACAGCTTCCCTTGCTTGGCTCCCTTGTGTCCCAGGCCACGATACATGAGTGGCATTGCTATTGTCACGTCACTGCTACCGTTGTATGTCATTTGTGATCATGCTTCCCCAATTTTCTACATTCAGAAAACACCCTCCGAAATATATTTCTCACCCCACAGCCCCGAGTCCTGTACCTTTACACATGTTGCTATCCCGGATGTCCTTGGTGGGGTCTTTGTAGTAGAAAGGCTTGCAGAGCTCACAGTTGCGCCCCATTGTGTTGTGCTGACAGTCGTCACAAACCCCTCCGCTCGAGTTCCTGGAGGAAAGGTAGACCGCCATGTCGAAGTGACACTTTCTAGAATGGTTGTTGCAATTGCACTCTGGAAGGAAGACAGTGTTAGGAACGCTACAAAATGCAGTCTTATTGTTTAGTGGTTGAAATAGAAGATATTCCAAAAAATTGAAAGGCTACATATAATTGCTATGCCATTTTCAGTTTACTGCCATGTGTTTAGGTACGCTGTGTTGCCAGTAATTGTGTATGTCTATTTTCTTGGGTGTTACATAGTTAGTCTGGCTGAAAAAAGACAAAAGTCCATCCAGTTCAACCAAAAAAAAAAAAAGTTATAATCCTACACCCACAGTTGATCCAGAGGAAGGCAAAAAAAAAAAAAACAGCAAAGTACGATCCAATTTGCTCCTCCAGGGAAAAAATCTCCTTCTTGATCCCCCGAGAGCCAATCAGATATTCCCTGGGTTGATGTACTAAAGGCAGATAGACGGTGCACTCTGCAAGTGCAATTGCTCCAGAGTTTAGTAAATGAGCAGAATTTCTGCGGATTTCCAACATCCAATCATATGCAGGCAAACTGCTTTTGTCTTTTGTTTTTTTTTGTTTTTTTTTATTTCCTTGCACATGATTGGGTATTCTTCGCAAAGTGGAGTTTTACCTCATTTACTAAGGTCTGGAGCAAATGCACATTCAGAGAGCAATTGCAAGTTGCATAGTGCACATTCTATTTGCCTTTAGTAAATCAAACCCTGTGTGCTCTGGATTGAGACAAGTACACACTGTAGAGGGCTATGCTTTGTTCATAGTTCATGTCTGAGGTTTACAACCACTTTAAAAAATGTGCAATAGCAGAATAGACTAACAGATGGGCTTTCCATTGACGTTAATGGAGATAACTAAAAGTGCACCAATCTTTAAATATAGGACAATACTGTGTCAGGTTCCAGGGCAGGACCCAAAGTGGGGGGTTGAAATTATCGTCCGATCCATTGTTGTTGGGCAGATAGCTGCCCCTCTGTGGCCAGTTTTAGGGCTCATGTACACTGCAGCTGATGAACTCACGTTTAGGAGCTGTTCAGCATTTTTTTCAGCAGCTCCGGAACTCTCCCTAATGTTTTCCTATGTGTCCGTGTACACATCGTCGTTTACAGGCAGTTGAGTTTACAGTAATTTTTTTGAACACAGAATACTTACTTTCAGCAATCGATTTTATCAGCGTTTCAAAAGCAAAACGCGGCTAAATGCGGCAAATCGTGTATATAAACGGTTTAAACTTTTTTTTTAACTCTTCCAGTTCCCGATGCTGTCCAGAGCCTTTTTTCATCATGAAAAATGCATGCAAAGCGTTTTCAAGGTACTCAGATGGACAAAACACTGAACACAGGATGTTCCTACCAAGCTTGTCACACATTGTAATGACCAATTCACACCTCAGACCTCTCCCACCCTTGGAAACAAAAGATATGTTAATGACCATTCACACCTCTAATTCCTCATGAAGACCCCCTGCCAGGTGGCCTTAATGACTCCCTCCACCAGACACCTTTCCCACTCTTGGAAACAAAAGATATGTTAATGACCAATTCACACCTCAAATTCCTCATGAAGACCCCCTGCCAGGTGGCCTTAATGACTCCCTCCACCAGACACCTTTCCCACCCTTGGAAACAAAAGAAATGTTAATAAGCAACTCACACCTAAGCTAATCTCAACACATACTGCTGTCTCTGCTTTTACTCTCTGTATTTCTCTGAAACAGTCTGAAATAGTTAATAATTTGCCACTTTTCAGTGCATTCTGGGCATTTGGGAGGTTCTCCTGAGCTTATCTTTAAAAAACGCTTCTAAATGCAAACGCACATCAATGTGTTATGCAAACGCTGCTAAACAGACGTTTTTTAACCTACGTTTTCCAGCAGTCAGTTTCCATCGTTCAGAAGTGTCCCATGTACATGGGGCCTTAGGATAAAATCAGATTTCATTTTCCAATGATCTGTAAACTATAAACCAATCAGCTTCCAGGTTTTATTGTCACAGATTAATTGAACAAGCTGAAGTTAGAAGCTGATTGGCTACCGTGCACGGCTGCATCAGATTTTGCACTCTCCAGTTTTACGCTTGGTTCCCATCTGTGCGGGTGGTGCTGCTGCGGATCCACACAAAAAAATCCGTGCAGCTGCACCACCCGCACAGAGGAATGCGGAACCGCAGGCGGGTGCCATTAGTTCTAATGGCACGCCGCCCGCACTGGAAAACGCAACCGTGCTGGGAACCGAGGTTCCTGTGGGGACTGCGTTTTCAGAAGAAGTGTAGGGACTTCTTCCCTGCGTTTCCCGGGGCACGGGAGCCCATTCAAATGAATGGGCTCTCGTGCCCGCGCAAAACGCGTCCCGCAGGAATGCGAGATGAGAACCTAGCCTCAGTTATTATCCCCCTATGGGTTGCTGCATTTTGGAATTTATTGGGATTTCTTGGCATACAGTATTGGACAGGCCTTTGTGTCCTCCACCACTTGTCCGAGCTCCAGACTCACTTTTACAAGCATTTGTGCTGCGTCCTTCAGCTGGTCTCCAGGGAAGGTCATTGAAGAAACTGTCACACTGCTCACAGTTCAGTCCCTTGGTGTTGTGTTTGCACACACATCTGCCGTGAACCTGAAATCCAGAAGATACAAGAATGTGACTTCTCTGACCCAACTCCGTATGTCACATGACAGGACTTGCACCTGTTTTGTTAATCAACTTAGCCAAGTGACTGCACTGACCAAAACTCTGAAGCAAAGACATAACTAGAACCAACAGAAACAACAAAGGGCAATCCTGACCCCCCCCACCGGGGCCCTTTCCTCTGGTCCCCAGGCCCTTCCCTCTGAGCCCATGGCCCTGCCTATTGATCCTTTACTCCCATCATGGGGCCATTTATTATCATCCTGCAGTGGGACCCTTTCACATGTTCTGCTGTGGGCCCTTTCCTGACTCCTGTCACTGGGCCCTTTACTACTGTCCCACAGCAATACTTTTCACATGTTATACAGCGGGCCCCCCTTCCTGACTCCTGTCACTGGGCCCTTTACCACTGTCCCGCAGCAGGACCTTTTCACATGTTCTGCTGTGGGCCCTTTCCTGACTCCTGTCATTGGGCCCTTTATTACCATCCCGCAGGAACACCTTTTCACATGTTCTGCTGTGGGCCCCCTTGCTGACTGCTGTCACTGGGCCCTTTACTACTGTCCTGCAGCAGGACCTTTTCACATGTTCTGCTGTGGGCCCCCCTTCCTGACTCCTGTCATTGGGCCCTTAACTACTGTCCCGCAGCAAGACCTTTTCACATATTCTGCTGCGGGGACCTTTCCTGACTCTTGTCATTGGGCCCTTTATTTCCTGACCATCCCGCAGCAGGACCTTTTCACATGTTCTGCTGTGGGCCCTTTCCTGACTCCTGTCATTGGGCCCTTTACTACCATCCCACAGGAGGAAGACCTTTTCACATGTTCTGCTGGGGGCCCCCTTCCTGACTCCTGTCACTGGGCCCTTTACTACAGTCCCATAGGAAGACCTTTTCACATGTTCTGCTGGCAGGCCCCCTTCCTGACTCCTGTCACTGGGCCCTTTACTACTGTCCCATAGGAAGACCTTTTTACATGTTCTGTCCCACAGGAAGACCTTTTCACATGTTCTGCCCCCCCTTCCTGACTCCTGTCACTGAGCCCTTAACTACTGTCCCGCAGCAGGACCTTTTCACCTGCTGCGGGACCTTTCCTGACTCTTGTCATTGGGCCCTTTATTACCATCCCGCAGGAAGACCTTTTCACATGTTCTGCTGTGGGCCCTTTCCTGACTCCTGTCATTCGGCCCTTTACTACCATCCCACAGGAAGACCTTTTCACATGTTCTGCTGGGGGCCCCTTCCTGACTCCTGTCACTGGGCCCTTTACTACAGTCCCATAGGAAGACCTTTTTACATGTTCTGCAGCAGGCCCCTTCCTGACTCCTGTCACTGGGCCCTTTACTACTGTCCCTTAGGAAGACCTTTTCAAATGTTCTGCTGTGGGCCCCTTCCTGACTCCTGTCATTGGGCCCTTTGCTACCGTCCCACAGGAAGACCTTTTCACATGTTTTGCTGGGGGCCCCCTTCCTGACTCCTGTCACTAAGCCCTTAACTACTGTCCCGCAGCAGGACCTTTTCACATATTCTGCTGCGGGACCTTTCCTGACTCCTGGGGCCCTGTCACATTACTACCATCCATCCCGCAGGAAGACCTTTTAACATGTTCTGCTGCGGGCCCTTTCCTGACTTCCATCACTGGGCCCTTTACTACCATCCCATAGGAAGACCTTTTCACATGTTCTGCAGAAGGTCCCCTTCCTGACTCCCATCGTGGGGCCCTTTATTATGGTCCTACAGTGGGACCCATTCACGTTTTCTGCAGCTGGCCCCTTTCCTGCCATCTGGGGCCTCCCCCATGCTGGTGGAATGCAAGGGCTTGGTCGCAAGTGCGACCCTTGCAACCCTGGTAGTTCCACAACTCCTCTGAAGGTATTGGGTGCGCAAGAAGAAAAGTCCAAAGCACAGCATATAAAGTCCAGATTCGGTTTTATTCAGACCTTTATATCATAAAAACCCAACAGGTTTCTGGTTCAAATGGTTTCCCATTAATAGGGCTTAGTACTGGGGAACAAAGTGTGTGCTGGGCTATATAATTGGAAGGCTCCTAATGAATTGGCTCCAAGAATAATTGGTCTACCCTAATTTTGATTTTTTTACAAAAACCAAAACAAGGACAATAGAATTCCTTACCATGCCTTCATCATCCCTGGAGACTCCTTGGATCGGAGCGCACTCAGAGGCATGTCCATAACAGAAGCAGTTTCCTCTGACCACCAGCTCATAGAGAGCATAGTAATACTTCTCTTTGATCTCCTGGCGGGAATCCAGCAGGTTATCGCCCAACGTGTGCAGTCTGGTGAAATTAATCCTCAGGTTGGTAATTTTGAGAAGATCTGAAAATAAAAAAAAACAGCATGAATAGAGCAGAACAGAAATGGTTACATGATACTTAAAGTGGAAGTAGAGGTAAAACCTAACTAAAGCAGGCCATACATGTGTCGAATTCCGAACGATTTTTCGATGGAAAATAGTTCGTTCTGTAATAGTCATAAAAAATAAATACTATATATATATACACACATGGCTTTTTTACTTACAGCAGGAACTCTCCAACTTTTTGGTAACCCCTTGACTCCACCCCTACCCACCTCCAAGCACCATCCCTTAGTTCCACCCCCTACCATCCTCCGAGCACCATCCCTTAGTTCCACCCCCTACCCACCTCCGAGCACCGTCCCTTAGTTCCATCCCCTACCCACCTCCAAGCACCATCCCTTAGTTCCACTCCCTACCCACCTCCAAGCACCCCCTGTGTCCCTTAGTTCCACCCCCTACCCACCTCCAAGCACCATCCCTTAGTTCCACCCCCTACCATCCCGAGCACCATCCCTTAGTTCCACCCCTACCACCTCTGAGCACCATCCCTTAGTTCCACCCCCTACCATCCTCCGAGCACCATCCCTTAGTTCCACCCCCTACCCACCTCCGAGCACCATCCCTTAGTTCCACCCCCTACCCACCTCCGAGCACCATCCCTTAGTTCCACCCCCTACCCACCTCCAAGCACCATCCCTTAGTTCCACCCCCTACCCACCTCCAAGCACCATCCCTTAGTTCCACCCCCTACCCACCTCCAAGCACCATCCCTTAGTTCCACCCCCTACTTATCACCCAGCACCGCCACATTTTTAGAGGATACAGAACCAAGTATCATTTTGTGGTGCTAACTAATTTGTATGTACAATGGCTAAATGGTTAGCGCTTCCGCCTGGCAGTACTCGGTTCGTAATCCCAACCACGGCACCATCTCCCTGGAGTTTGCATGTTCTGCCTGTGTGGGTTTCCTCCCAGGTACTCCAGTTTCCTCCCACACTCCAAAGACATGCTGGTAGGTGAATGGCTCCTGTCTAAATGGGCCCTAGTATGTGTGTGTATGAATGTGAGTTAGGGCCCTTAGATTGTACGCCCCTTGAGGGTTAGGGACCTTAGATTGCACGCCCCTTGAGGGTTAGGGACCTGATTGTACGCCCCTTGAGGTTAGGGACCTTAGATTGTACGCCCCTTGAGGGTTAGGGACCTTATAGATTGTACGCCCCTTGAGGGTTAGGGACTGATGTGAATGTACAATATATATGTAAAGCGCTGTGTAAATTGATGGTTTTATATAAGTACCTGTAATGTGTAATGATAACAAGAAAAGCAGTACAATACAGTAGATCCCCCAGCAACAATGGACCACCCCCCCAACAACAAAATACCACCCCAGCAACAATAGATCCACTCCAGCAATCATAGACCCCCAGCAGCAAAAACATATCTCCCAATAGACTCCTCTCTCAACAGGAGATCCCTCCAAGCCACAACTGACCCCCAGCAACATAGGACTTACACCAGCAACAATAGATCCATTCCAACAATCATAGACCCCCAGCAGCAAAAACAGATCTCCTAACAGTCAACATCAATAGACCCCTCCCTCAACAGAGATCCCTCAAGCTCAACACCCCCCCACCCTAACATAAGACATCCCCCTTACCCCAGCAACAATAGATCCACTCCAACAATCATAGACTTCCAGCAAACCCCTAACAAAATCAACTCCTCTCTCAACAGAAGATCCCCCCAAGCAACAACTGAAACATAAAGACTTACCCCAGCAACAATAGATCCACTCCAACAATCATAGACCCCAAGCAGCAAAAACAGATCTCCTAACAGTCAACGTCAATAGACTCCTCCCTTAACAGGAGATCCCTCCAAGCAATAGCTGACCCCCCAACATAAGACCTCCCCCTTACCCCAGCAACAAAAGATCCACTCCAAAAATCATAGACCCCCAGCAGCAAAAACAGATCTCCCAATACACTCCTCTATCAACAGGCGACAACTGACCCCCCCAGCAACATAAGACTTACCCCAGTAACAATAGATCCACTCCAACAATCATAGACCCCCAGCAGCAAAAACAGATCTCCTAACAGTCAACGTCAATAGACTCCTCCCTCAACAGGAAATCCCTCTAAGCAACAAACTGACCCCCCCCCCCAGCAACATAGACCACTCCAACAATCATAGACCCCCAGCAGCAAAAAACAGTATTATTAATAGATCCACTCCAACAATCATAGCCCCCAGCAGCAAAAAAACGCTCTCCTAATAGACTCCTCTCTCAACAGGAGATCCCTCCAAGCAACAACTGACCCCCCCCCCCCAGCAACATAAGACCTCCCCCCAGGGGCGGACTGACAACTCATGGGGCTCCGGGCATAGATCATGGGGCCCCTGTGTCCTTGCCCAAACTCAAAAAAGCCTATGAAAAAGGTACAGGGGGCATCTCATGGGGCCCCCTACTGACCCTGGGCTCGAGTTTCCAAATGGTCAGTCCGTCCCTGCCTCCCCCCTTACCTTGAAACAATAGACTCCCATGCAAAAATAGATTCCCACCAGTGAAAATAGACCCCCCCAGCACCCCTTTCCATTACATACATTCAGTGCTGGAATGCCAGAACTGCGTTCCCGCTGAAAAAGGCCGTGTATGTATATATATATATTTTACAGCCATATTTAATTAATTTCAGTACTTATACAGCGCCATCAATAAGCGCTTTACATATATATTGTACATTCACATCAGTCCCCAAGGGGCGTACTGGTCCCTAACCCTCAAGGGGTGTACATCATGGGGCCTCCCCCAGGGGCGTACAATATGGGGGTTCGTACAATCTAAGGTCCCTAACCCTCAAGGGGCGTCCAATCTAAGGTCCCCTGCCCTCCAGGGGCGTACACTCAAAAAACCCTAGGGGAAATCTAAGGTCCCTAACCCTCAAGGGGCGTACAATCTCCCCTTAACCCTCAGGGGCCCCCAACTGACCCTGGGGCGTACAATCTAAGGTTCCCTCAAATGGTCACAATCTAAGGTCCCTAACCCTCAAGGGGCCTCCCCCCTTACCTCAAGGGGGCGACAATCAAAAAAAATAGGGTCCCCCATCAAAGGGTGTACAATCTAAGGTCCCAACCCTCAAGGAGTGAAAATACAACCCCCCAGGTCCCTAACCCATTAATACAGGTGACTCAAGGGGTGTAAATGCCCTAGAAGGGCGTACAATCGAAGGTCCCTAACTGCGTTCCCGCCCCTGAAAAAAGGCCCTGTAAGTACAAATCTAAGGTATATATCTAAGGTTAACAGCATATAATAAAGTAATTAATTTCAATTTCAATGCTGTTTATAGGGCTCCTGTAAAGAATCTGCCCCCCCCCCCCCGTGTGACACACTTGTTCCCGGGGGTCTGCGAGGGTGACACTTCCACCTAGTGAATCGGCTGGGACACGTCCCAGTAATTTGCTTTCTGCACTCTGCACAAGGCTGGTGGCTGGACAGGAGCCAAAAGCTACACCCAGTATCATCGGTTAAACAGGGAGTCTGCCATGTATGGCAATAGAGCAAAGCCGAAAACACCGAGCTAAATCAGTAACAGCCTCAGACATCTTTACAGGGGCTCAGAAAATAACTCCCTGCATTTAGAAACAAAGCAGACTCATCTTGTAAGTGTCGGGAAATAGCCCAGGAATGGTCCATGAAACCCCCCTAATCCCCTTGTATTGCTATATTCTAGCCTACACAAGGACGCAGCTATCTTTGGGTGCCCATAAGAGTAATAATATAGCAGGCAAAGGACCTGATTCATCAAGCTGGGATATCGCCGATTGCATGACAAATGTGGCGCATTGTCACGTGTTATAAATGTCATCAAATGGGGAAAGCTTCTGGCATCATTAAAGCTGAAGTTTAATCCATTATATTTTGTCTTCCCTGGTCCCTCCCAAAAATGAACACACTAATAAAGCTTTGAATAAATCCTTTCTGTTTTTCATTACATAACTTATTTTAGATACAGTGACATCATCACTGGGTCTCTGTGCCTCTCTACGCAATGCATGCAGATTGTTGTGGATGGGAGGGGCCAGAAGGGTGCTGTACATAGCTTCCTGAAAACATGACAACACCCTACCTGATAACTCCTCTCAAGAGCCATCAGCCCCAATGCAAACAGTGGGTTGGCTCTTGGGAGGAGTTATACAAATATCAAAATATCACACTCTGCTGTGAGGCTAGGTAGTGCCCAGGTAGTGCTAGGTAGGTGTGATGCTGGGTAGTGCCCAGGTAGTACTAGGTAGGTGTGATGCTATGTAGTGCCCAGGTAGTACTAGGTAGGTGTGATGCTAGGTAGTGCCCAAGTAGTGCTAGGTAGGTGTGATGCTAGGTAGTATCCAGGTAGTACTAGGTAGGTGTGATGCTATGTAGTGCCCAGGTAGTGCTAGGTAGGTGTGATGCTAGGTAGTGCTAGGTAGGTGTGATGCTAGGTAGTGCCCAGGTGGTGCTAGGTAGGTGTGATGCTAGAGAGTGCCCAGGTAGTGCTAGGTAGGTGTAATGCTGCTAGGTAGTGCCCAAGTAGTACTAGGTAGGTGTGATGCTGGGTAGTGCCCAGGTGGTGCTAGGTAGGTGTGATGCTATGTAGTGCCCAGGTGGTGCTAGGTAGGTGTGATGCTAGGGAGTGCCCAGGTAGTACTAGGTAGGTGTGATGCTGGGTAGTGCCCAGGTAGTACTAGGTAGTTGTGATCCTAGGTAGTGCCCAGGTAGTGCTAAGTAGTTGTGATGCTAGGTAGTGCCCAGGTAGTGCTAGGTAGGTGTGATGCTAGGTAGTGCCCAGGTAGTTCTAGGTAGGTGTGATGCTAGGTAGTGCCCAGGTAGTGCTAGGTAGGTGTGATGCTAGGTAGTGCCCAGGTAGTACTAGGTAGGTGTGATGTGATGTGCCCAGGTAATTCTAGGTAGGTGTGATGCTGGGTAGTGCCCAGGTAGTTCTCTAGGTAGGTGTGATGCTAGGTAGTGCCCAGGTAGTGCTAGGTAGGTGTGATGCTAGGTAGTGCCCAGGTAGTGCTAGGTAGGTGTGATGCTAGGTAGTGCCCAGGTAGTGCTAGGTAGGTGTGATGCTAGGAAGTGCCCAGGTAGTGCTAGGTAGGTGTGATGCTAGGTAGTGCCCAGGTAGTAGGTAGGTGTGATGCTAGGTAGTGCCCAGGTAGTTCTAGGTAGGTGTGATGCTGGGTAGTGCCCAGGTAGTTCTAGGTGATGCTGGGTAGTCCCAGGTAGTTCTAGGTAGGTGTGATGCTGGGTAGTGCCCAGGTAGTACTAGGTAGGTGTGATGCTAGGTAGTGCCCAGGTAGTCCTAGGTAGGTGTGATGCTGGATAGTGCCCAGGTAGTGCTAGGTAGGTGTGATGCTAATGAATGGAAGGGGAAAGGGAAAAGCCATAGATGGATCAAAATTGGCTGTTCCCACCTGAACCTGCCGAATTATGATCCATCTATGGCCAGTTTGAAAATCTTGAGGAATTAATTTTGCTGAATGTATTGTGAGTACGTGGTTGGTCAGTTCTGAGCACATGACTGTTAATAAGCTTGCACATGGTTGGTCAGTTCTGTTGAGAAGTACTTACTTTGGATCCGGGGACTGTAAGGGTCTCTGATTGGGATTGCTGGATCCAGCACTCTGTATATCACCTATGAACAGTATACAAGGGTTAAAATAACCAACCACCAAGTGACAGAATGCTTAAACAATTACAATGATGAATTGTGCACAATCGGCTCATATTTCTGTCCATTCCATGTTAAAAAAGAAAAAAATGTGATTGGTTGGTATGATTTACTATTTATCACTGCTGTACAGCTACTGAAGGGCAAGTATGGTGTGTTTTTCAGTAAGCACTGTATCAATTATTACTTGGAAGGAATTTTTTTTTTTCTGCGATTTTCACATTTTTACCTGGTTGTTGTTCCATATTTTCTGTATTATATTAAAAAGAGAGATTTGCAGATTAGCCACTAGAGGGAGCTGTGTATTTAAAGGAGCCTCCTATAGCCTTCCTGCTGAAAGTGGAACTAAACCCTCCTATCTTTTCCAGCCAAGGAAGACACCATCTTGGTCTCTTGTTTGATCTTTATCTGCCATGGCGCTACACATGTGATCAGTTATGACACCGGCCATTTGATGGTTTGACATGGTTGGTAGAGAGTACATGTGACAGTTACAATCCCGGCATGCTGGGAATAGAACTGTTTTTTGAAACCATTAAATCGATGGATTTAATTCCGATGAAACAACTTGGAACATATAATAAAGTTTCACATTGATATCCAGCAAAAATGTCTTGCTTAGGTTTCTGAAAGGGTGTAAAGGGGGTTAGATCCTCCAAATATGGAAGAAAAATATATTTGAAATATACTTTAAAAATGTTCTTCCTAAATAAATTACCATATATTTGAAATACTACAATTTTGGCCATATTCAATATATTTAAAAAAATAAAAAAAAAAAAAAATATATATATATGTATATATATATATATACTGCATGTTAAAATGCATTTTTATTACAAAATATATGAACATATTTTTAAAAATACATTTCAAATATACTGTATCATTAAAATTAAATAATATAACATTTTAAAACAAATCTGAAGAATATATTTAGAAAATAAATATTTTTTTAAATATATTCTTCAGATTTTTTTTAACATATAAAAAATTCATTTTAACATATATTTGCAAATGCATTCCAAAAATGTAGATTAAATGTTCTTTTAAAGACATACAGTATATTTGAAAATGTATTTTTAAAAATATTTTTCATATATTTTGTAATAAAAACGCATTTCAACATATAGTATATATATATATATATATATATATATATATATATAAATATATTGAAATATATCGAATATGGCCAAAATTGTAGTATTTCAAATATATGGCAATATATTTGGGAAGAATATTTTTAGAATATATTTCAAATATATTTTTCTTCCATGTCGGTCTGCTGGGTTTTTATTGCCCTGTTTTTCCGATTGAGATTTCCCCTCACTTCCTGTCCCCAGTGGCGGTGGTGGTGGTCAGGGAGTGAGAAGTGAACCTCCAGAGGGTCTATGAGTTCCTCACCCTTAGCCAAGGTATAAAAAAATTTAAATTAAAGTACATCTAAACCCAACCACAGAAACCTTATCAATGCTCTAAAGTTCAAAAGTCTTTAAAGTTTTCCGTCTTTAAATCTGCAGCTTTCATTAAAGTAAGCCCTGGTAATCCTGCATTGAGGGTCCTTTTTGAGGCACTTCCTGTAATAACTTGAAATCTCCTCCAGGGGTGCCTGTGACAGGGTGACAACACGGAAACACAACTGGGAGACAGTTCTCATCCATAGTATGGAAGCAGAGTCTCTTGAAGTCCCCTCCAGGGGTGCATGTGGCAGGGTGACAACGCAGAAGCACAACTAGGAGAGAGTTGTCACCCAAAGTATGGAAGCAGTCTTTTGAAGTCTCCAACAGGGGTTCATGTGGTAGGGTGACAACGCAGAAGCACAACTAGGAGAGAGTTGTCACCCAAAGTATGGAAGCAAAGTCTATTGAAGTCTCCTCCAGGGGTGCATGTGGCAGGGTGTCAACGCAGAAGCACAACTAAGAGAGTTGTCACCCAAAGTATGGAAGCAGAGTCACTTGAAGTCTCCACCAGGGGTTCATGTGGTAGGGTGACAACGCAGAAGCACAACTAGGAGAGAGTTGTCACCCAAAGCATGGAAGCAGAGTCTTTTGAAGTCTCCTCCAGGGGTGCATGTGGCAGGGTGACAACGCAGAAGCACAACTAGGAGAGAGTTGTCACCCTAAAGTCTCCTCCAGGGGTATGGAAGCAGAGTCTCTTGAAGTCTCCTCCAGGGGTGCATGTGGCAGGGTGACAACGCAGAAGCACAACTAGAGAGTTGTCACCCTAGGTTGTCAATGCAGAAGTATGGAAGCAGAGTCTCTTGAAGTCTCCTCCAGGGGTGCATGTGGCAGGGTGACAACGCAGAAGCACATCTAGGAGAGAGTTGTCACCCTAAAGTATGGAAGCAGAGTCTCTTGAAGTCTCCTCCAGGGGTGCATGTGGCAGGGTGACAACGCAGAAGCACAACTAGGAAAGAGTTGTCACCCTAAGTATGGAAGCAGAGTCTCTTGAAGTCTCCTCCAGGGGTGCATGTGGCAGGGTGACAACGCAGAAGCACAACTAGGAGAGAGTTGTCACTCAAAGTATGTAAGCAGAGTCACTTGAAGTCTGCTACAGCGGTGCATGGTGACAGTTGTCACCCAATAGGTGCATCATGCACCCCTGGAGGAAACTTCAAGAAACTGCTTACACTGAGTACATTGCTTAGTCATGGTCCACTGTTGTTACCATCGAGAAGCCGGTGACTAAAAGTCATGCAAGAACTACTCTAGAAATTTCACTGCAGTAAATCGCAAATGTTAAGATACTGACATTCACATTCATTAGATGCAATTTCAGGTGAGATTTCAATTCCCAAATCGCACCGGTGTGAAGGGGCACTTAGATCTACTTTAGCACTTTGGTTGGACTTCCTCTATAACATCTTTGATGAGTTTTTCACTTCAACAACATCATTTATTATTGAAAGAATAAAAATCTCCCGTCTTATATTCCCAGTGCCTATCACTGTACCTCTCCTTCTGTGGACGGCTCAATTTCAGAGTAGCGGGATTCACAGATGACGTCGTCCACTTTCCTCTGGGCGTTTCGGGAAATATTAGAGAAGACGGCCGCGCAGTCATAAGCAAAGTACCTGTAAACCTGCCAATTTCGACCGAAGTCTGCCGAGCGCTCAACCAACATGGCTGCCGGTCTGAACGTCTGAGGATAAAAAAAATATGAACAAATGTAAACAATATTTATAATTTTTTTCTTACAAAATTTACAATTTATTGCCATAGACCAAACACAATGACTAGTCAATGGGGAGCTCCAGGCAATACAAAAATCAGTGGTGATCATCAATGGTGGTGATCTAAGGATAGAGTCTGGAGACTGGTCAATGGGGAGCTCCAGGCAATACAAAAATCAGTGGTGATGATCAATGGTGGTGATCTAAGGATGGAGTCTGGAGACTGGTCAATGGGGAGCTCCAGGCAATACAAAAATCAGTGGTGATGATCAATGGTGGTGATCTAAGGATGGAGTCTGGAGACTGGTCAATGGGGAGCTCCAGGCAATACAAAAATCAGTGGTGATGATCAATGGTGGTGATCTAAGGATGGAGTCTGGAGACTGGTCAATGGGGAGCTCCAGGCAATACAAAAATCAGTGGTGATGATCAATGGTGGTGATCTAAGGATGGAGTCTGGAGACTGGTCAATGGGGAGCTCCAGGCAATACAAAAATCAGTGGTGATGATCAATGGTGGTGATCTAAGGATGGAGTCTGGAGACTGTCAATGGGGAGCTCCAGGCAATACAAAAATCAGTGGTGATGACCAATGGTGGTGATCTAAGGATAGAGTCTGGAGACTGGTCAATGGGGAGCTCCAGGCAATACAAAAATCAGTGGTGATGACCAATGGTGGTGATCTAAGGATGGAGTCTGGAGAATGGTCAATGGGGAGCTCCAGGCAATACAAAAATCAGTGGTGATGATCAATGGTGGTGATCTAAGGATGGAGTCTGGAGAGTGGTCAATGATCAATGGTGGTGATCTAAGGATGGGGTCTGGAGAGTGGTCAATGGGGAGCTCCAGGCAATACAAAAATCAGTGGTGATGGTGGTGATCTAAGGATGGAGTCTGGAGAGTGGTCAATGATCAATGGTGGTGATCTAAGGATGGGGTCTGGAGAGTGGTCAATGGGGAGCTCCAGGCAATACAAAAATCAGTGGTGATGACCAATGGTGGTGATCTAAGGATGGAGTCTGGAGACTGTCAATGGGGAGCTCCAGGCAATACAAAAATCAGTGGTGATGATCAATGGTGGTGATCTAAGGATGGAGTCTGGAGACTGGTCAATGGGGAGCTCCAGGCAATACAAAAATCAGTGGTGATGATCAATGGTGGTGATCTAAGGATGCAGTCTGGAGCTTCCGACAGCAATGACGGAATCCTACTAAGATGGACCAAACATAGCAACTGGTCAATGGGGATTATGCGAGGAAATTTTTTTTTTTAATTTTGGTGTTGGAGTCTCCCCCCCCCCCAAAATCCACACCAGGCCCTTATCCGAGCATGCAGGTCAAGAAAGGGGGGGCACCTTGCAAACGCCCCGCAAACGCCTGCCAGGCGTTTGAGGAGTGTTATCCTAGACTTGAATGGGAGGCTTCAACTCCTCCTGACTGGACATGAGGCGTCAATTTTGCCGCGATGCACGCTAACGCTTCAGTGTGAACAGCACTGTGTGCTGCCATGTGTAGAATTTTAAAAATCTATACTGGACGAGGGTATGTTTTCCTATGCACCATCTGGCCAATTGATGAATGCAAAATATATAACCTTTATTTAAATATATAGAAAATGCATCCTCAGCTGTAATTAATGCCTATTGGAGCGGAATGTACTGCGCACAACACTATGACTGGATACCATTACAATTATTTATCTTACATCCAAATGGTTCATAACACCAGACCAAATCAAGTACCATATTGGATGAAGTGACGGCATACAAAGAGGCATTGTATTTTGATCATCAGCTTGAATATATAATCTCTGTTAACCCCCAGTCCAGTCCGGACACTTTCCCCCCCCCCCCTTCAGTCCGGACACTTTCCCCCCCTTCCAGTCCGGACACTTTCCCCCCCTTCCAGTCCGGACACTTTCCCCCCCTTCCAGTCCGGACACTTTCCCCCCCTTCCAGTCCGGACACTTTCCCCCCCTTCCAGTCCGGACACTTTCTCCCCCCTTCCAGTCCGGACACTTTCTCCCCCTTCCAGTCCGGACACTTTCACCCCATTCCAGTCCGGACACTTTCCCCCCCTTCAGTCGGACACTTTCACCCCCTTCCAGTCCGGACACTTTCCCCCCCTTCCAGTCCGGACACTTTCCCCCCTAACCTTCAGGCATTAGACAGGTGTATGGGAAATGTTTTTCACTTTCTCAAATGCTCCCCAAACGCCCTTCCAGTCTTTTTGAGGTGTTTGCCGGGACACTTTCTCCCCCCTTCCAGTCGGGACACTTTCCCCCCCTTCCAGTCCGGACACTTTCCCCCCCTTCCAGTCAGGACACTTTCCCCCCCTTCCAGTCCGGACACTTTCTCCCCCTTCCAGTCCGGACACTTTCCACCCCCCAGTCCGGACACTTTCACCCCCTTCCAGTCCGGACACTTTCCCCCCCTTCCAGTCGGGACACTTTCCCCCCCTTCCAGTCCGGACACTTTCCCCCCCTTCCAGTCCGGACACTTTCCCCCCCCCTTCCAGTCCGGACACTTTCACCCCCTTCCAGTCCGGACACTTTCACCCCCTTCCAGTCCGGACACTTTTACCCCCTTCCTGACCAGGGCAATTTTCAGCTTTCAGCGCTATCACACTTTGAATGACAATTGCGCAGTCATGCAACACTGTACCCAAATGAATTTTTTACCTTTTTTTTTTTAGACAGATAAAGCTTTATTTTGATGGTATTTATTCACCGCTGGGATTTTTTTTTTTTTTGCTATTTAAATGAAAAAGTCCAAAAATTTTGAAAAAAAGTGTTTTTTTTTATAAAATTTTGCAAATAAATAATATTTTCATCATAAATCTTGGCCACCATTTATTCCGCTATCTTTTTAGTAAAAAAAAAAAAAATCCAAATTAGTTTATAACCAAAAATTATAATTTTTAAACATTTTTTTTTACATTTTTATTTTTTTTTTATTATTATTTTTTTTTTTTTACATACTGTCACCCTAGCAGTACAGTGTCACCATGGTGACACTGTACTACTTGTGGGGGGTGATGAAGATTTTTTTTTTTACACTGATTGCTTTTACACCCATATAGGATGTAAAAGCAATCATTTCTCTTTCTCTCTGGCTGCATTCTTGCACTCATTGAGAAGTACTGAGTGAGCTGTGATTGGTCACAGCTTGTCACATGGTACAAGGCTGTTGTGAATAGCCTTGTACCATGTGACCTCTGTGATCATTCACAGATTTCACACGTAGTAAGCAATGATGTCAGAAGTGACAATCCATGATCACATGATCGGGACCTCGTACAGAGGTCCCGTCCTACGATCGGTGTTTCACTGTGTCCGGAGGACACAGCGGGCACCGGATCGCGGTGCTGCGCGCTCCGAGGGAGCGCGCACAAGCAGGGTGCGGGGAGGCCGTTTATAAACGGCCACTTGACCCTGCACTGCCACCGTCCGGCCGTTTATATGCAATGGCCGGTCGGGAAGTGGTTAAGGAAATGGAGTTACCCCGTGGACAAAACTAATTAGATAGTATAATCTATCTCGCTACAGATATGTAATACGGGTACACTCATCCACGGGGGCTTAAATGTCAGCCTCTCATGGAAAGCCCCATACATCACCATATCCAACAAAAATACCTCACTGTCTTGGGGAAAGCAAATGATGCATTGTAAAAACTCAGTACAGACCTCTCCAAAATAAAAGGGGGAAGAGGAGTGAAATGCACGTGCATTAAAAAAGTGCTCCCAAAGAAAGACCCAAAGAAAAAAAAAAAAAAAGGGAACTCTACATGTTTCCCTCCAAAAACAGAACTTCCTCAGGAGTATAAGAGCTCGTTCACACTTGACTAAATTCTAACGCTTGCCAAATGCCCCTCTAACCTTTGACAGGCATTAGACAGGTGTATGGGAAATGTTTTTCACGCTTCTCAAATGCTCCCCAAACGCCCTATGCGTGTTTTTTGAGGTGTTTGCCAAGCGTTAAAAAAACCGCACCACCAACACCTATAATGAAGTTTAACCTCCTCGCGGTCTGATTATTTCAGATTTTGGGTGCTGAAAGCGGTACCATTATTTTGCATGGAAATATGTCGTTTTTTTATTGTAGGCTGTAATATTTAGGAATAACTCACTGAAATCTGTCCGAACAAGAGTCTAGTAAACATCCCGGGTATGATAAAATTTGAAACACAAAATCATAAATTATAATTTAATAAATAATCATAAAAAATAATAATATATAATAATAATAAATTTTTAATTCAATAATATAATCAAACCAAAAAACACTGAAATGTGAAATAGAGCGCCAAGTTCGCACATCGCTGAGCAAAGTCGCAGAATCGTTTTAAGTGTCTGATGAGGAATTTCCCCCACGAATCATTATCACTCAATTCTGCAAGTGGTTCTGATTTACTATCGCTGTTCTCTAGCCGGTCTAAAACCGCTTTTGACATAAAGGGACGCTTTTTGAACGCCATGGATGTTTCTCAGTTTCCAGGCAGAAAGAACAGTAAAAATGCAGGCAGGGCGCCGCCGACAAAGCACTCGGGACAAAATGTATGTGAAATGGTTTGATACAGGAATGTTTTACTATGTAAAATTTGTTTAGAAAAAAATGACGTTTTTTTAAATTTTCAAATTTCCCGCCGGTTTTGGCGCCCGTACGTCCCTACGTCACAGGGACCGGAACACAGAAGCCGGATGCCGTCATCGGCCGGAGGAGATGGCCGGGGACGCTGCAGGGGACACATCGCGGGAGCGCAGGACAAGGTAAGTGCTGGAGGGACTCCCTATGCAGCGCCGCATAGTAAGCCCGAGTGTAGCTCGGGGTTACCGCTTTTGGTACTGAAATGTTAGCCCGAGCTACACTCGGGAATACCGCCAGGGAGGTTAATGGTATTAACGCTCTGCAAACGTGGCGTTTGGGAGCGTCACCATAGACGTGAATGGGAAGCTTCAACGCCTCATGACTGGACATGAGGCATCAATTTTGCCGCAACGCTGACGCTTCAGTGTGAACAGCACTGTGTACTGCCATGTGTAGAATTTTCATAGGCGTTTGAGGAGCGTTAAAAATGCTTCCCAAACGCCTGTCTAACGCCTGCTGACAAAGCTAGTGTGAACGTAGCCTTATGTATACAGTCATGGCCGAAATTGTTGGCACCCTTGATATTTCTCCAGGAAATCATGTATTTCTCACGAAACGTATTGCATTAACACATGTTTTGCTATACACATGTTTATTCCCTTTGTGTGTATTGGGACAAAAACAAAAAAAGGGAGGAAAGAAAGCAAATTCGACATAATGTCACACAAACCTCCAAAAATGGGCTGGACAAAAGTATTGGCACCCTTTCACAACTGCGGATAAATAAGAATGTTACAAGCATGTGATGCTCCTGTAAACTCACCTGGGGCAAGTAACAGGTGTGGGCAATATAGAAATCACACCTGAAAGCAGATAAAAAGGAGAGACGTTCACTTAACCTTTGCATTGTGTGTCTGTCTGTGCCACACTAAGCATGGACAACAGAAAGAGGAGACGAGAACTGTCTGAGGACCTGAGAACCAAAATTGTGGTAAAATATCAACAATCTCAAGGTTACAAGTCCATCTCCAGAGAACTAGATTTGCCTTTGTCCACAGTGCGCAACATTATCAAGAAGTTTGCAACCCATGGCACTGTAGCTAATCTCCCTGGTCGTGGACGGATGAGGAAAATTGATGAAAGATTGCAACGCAGAATAGTCCGGATGGTGGATAAGCAGCCCCAAACATGTTCCAAAGACATTCAAGCTGTCCTGCAGGCTCAGGGAGCATCAGTGTCAGCGCGAACTATCCGTCGACATTTAAATGAAATGAAACGCTATGGCAGGAGACCCAGGAGGACCCCACTGCTGACACAGAGACATAAAAAAGCAAGACTACAGTTTGCCAAAATGTACTTGAGTAAGCCAAAAGCCTTCTGGGAAAACGTCTTGTGGACAGATGAGACCAAGATAGAGCTTTTCGGTAAAGCACATCATTCTACTGTTTACCGAAAACGGAATGAGGCCTACAAAGAACAAAACACAGTACCTACGGTAAAATATGGTGGAGGTTCAATGATGTTTTGGGGTTGTTTTGCTGCCTCTGGCACTGGGTGCCTTGACTGTGTGCAAGGCATCATGAAATCTGAGGATTACCAAAGGATTTTGGGTCGCACTGTAGGGCCCAGTGTCAGAAAGCTGGGTTTTGCGTCCAAGATCCTGGGTCTTCCAGCAGGACAATGACCCCAAACATACGTCAAAAAGCACTCAGAAATGGATGGCAAAGAAGCGCTGGAGAGTTCTGAAGTGGCCAGCAATGAGCCCAGATCTAAATCCCATTGAACACCTGTGGAGAGATCTTAAAATTGCTGTTGGGAAAAGGTGTCCTTCCAATAAGAGAGACCTGGAGCTGTTTGCAAAGGAAGAGGTCCAAAATTCCGGGTGAGAGGTGTCAGAAGCTTATTGATGGTTATAGGAAGCGACTGATTTCAGTTATGTTTTCCAAAGGGTGTGCAACCAAATATTAAGTTAAGGGTGCCAATACTTTTGTCCAGCCCATTTTTGGGGTTTTGTGTGACATTATGTCATATTTGCTTTTCTGCCTCTGTTTTATATTTGTTCCAATACATACAAAGGGAATAAACATGTGTATAGCAAAACATGTGTTAATGCAATACCTTTTTTGTGTGAAATACTTGATTTTCAGGAAAAATATCAAGGGTGCCAACAATTTCGGCCATGACTGTATGTGTAACCAGTGCCCCGTGCGTCTCTGCTCATGTATAGAGCGGATTTCTGTGCATTTGTTTCCCGAAGTTTGGGAGCTGCACTCAGATGCCACCTGTCACACTTTGCGTTTTTGGTGTGGGTCCATTGATGTCCATTACGCATAAAACGCAATCTGCTGCTGGAAAAAAGTCTATCACCCTTCCCAAAAAATGCAGCGGCTCAAAACACAGAGATGGGAACTAGATCAATGGGAAGTCCTGGTAAATGGACTGCTGTGCGTTTCTGCAAACTAGAAAACACGGAAATCTGCATAAGTGTGAACCGAGGGCTAAAGATACAAGAATCTAGTAGGCGACTTGTCCCACCAGCATCCCTCCATAACTCAGATATCACGGCCAGCTTGGCTCATCCTTTAACACAATCCTACTTCCCATCAGACGGGCAGCAAAATAAAGGAGACAATAGCTCACAAATCCTCCTATTCTGATACGGAGATGTGAAATACGTGAAATTCCAATTTCATTCACTGGATCCCATCCCAGCCCCCAGATTATTCACTATTTCCATGAATGGAGTTTTTGTCCTCATTAAATACACGGGAAGAGATGAAAAGACGCAGGGATAATTTCCATAATCAGCACAGATATTAGATGTACCTTGAAGGTCATGATCAGGTGAGTGAAGTGAAATTCAGCCTCCAGGTCCAGTTGAATGCTCACATCAGAGACTCCTGTATGAAAGAAACGCAAGGCGGTTATTTCTCATTCCCAGATACAACTTTCTGGGTGTATATGGCAAGCCACCATTTAAAGCGGTACGAAACCCAAAACCAGAAATGTAATATATTGCAGCTTACCAATCATGAGATGTGGCGGCTGCATTAGTTTTCATTTTCTTAACCTCTTCACACCGACCGCACACAAATGTGTGGCCTCCTGGCGTCTGGGCTTAGATGCTGAGCGCGGCCGCACATTTGTGTGCAATTAAGAAAAACACATGTGCTGAGAGCACGCGCCCTACGCGCTCCTAGCACACATGTCCGGTACTCACGGAAATCCCTTTCGATTGGGACCTTTCCCGATCATGTGACCGCCGTGACGGCGAATCATGGCGGTCACATGACCCTAAAACCCACCTCCTGGCTTCTGAAACCCTAAAGGGCCGGGAGGCGCTGGCACCAAGGGGTTAAATGCTTTTTCCCCTCTCTTTTCACCTGGTGATCTGGCCAGTAACACACCTCCTGTATTCGTCCTCACGCACACGGGACGTTTTTACAGCGGCTGTTTTTGGCTTTTGACGTCTTTTTCTACAGCCAGTAAGCCCCCCAGCATGTTATCCTATGTGTCCATACCAGGGGCGGACTGACCATTTGGAAATTGGCATTGCCCGAGGGCCCGGGTCAGTAGAGGGCCCCATGAGATGCCCCTGGTACCTTTTTCATAGGCTTTTTTGAGTTTGGGCAAGGACACAGGGGCCCATGATCCCCTATTGCTCGGGGGCCCCATGAGTTTGTCAGTCCGCCCCTGGTCCATACACATATAGACTGGAATCAACTATTTTTGACAGGGACGTTTTCTGGCTGGAAAAAGAACCCAGAACTAGTGGGTTTTCTAGAGGAGTTTTTTAGCTGTAAAAATGCTCCAAAGCTGAAAAATGTGGCAAAACGCTGCAAAGCAAAAATTTTGGGGGTCAAAAAACCTCTAAAAAAAAACCGCTAAAAAAACACAAATGCGGAAAAACGAGGCAAAACGCGGCAAAATGTCTCTAAACGCTAAAATAAAGTTGAAAAACTCACGGTTTTAACGTGACTTTACACAGCTAATGTTACCAGCGTTATCAAAACGCCCCGTGTGCATGAGGGCTAAAGCAGGCCTTAGACGGCTCGAAAACCGGGCGTTTTTTTACGGTAAACAAAAAATAGGTCGTTCGTTAAACCAACGTAACCACCAATGATTACGAAAATCGGCCGACCAAGTCATAAAAATCATGACATATAACAGGAAATAACAGGTCACAGCTCATGCGCATATTTTTTTTCAGAAAAGCGATCGTACGATTTGACCATCATTGGCGCGAAAAATCGGTCGTTTTCCACGAATTTTCCAACATGACCGATAATCCAAAAGTGGGAAAACCTCAAAAACCAGCCGACGAATTAACCCACTAACAGTGCGAAAATTGGCCGATCTTCTTCTGGACGAAAAATCGGCCGATTTTCGAACCATCTATGGCCGGCATTAGTCCGCTAATCCCCTGCTGAGGTTAGCAGAGCAGGTCCATGTCCTCTCCACGTATACAGAGCCGATATGGACACAGCCTGCTCTGCTCTATGGGCGGTCAGATGTGAACGGACCCGTTGTCTGTTTACACCCGAATGCTCACTGGTTTGCAGCCAGACGGAGGAGAATGGATCCCCTTCCATTTGTTTTTGCCAGATTGGAGGTAGCAAGTCTGTTTACATCCAACTGCCCATAGAGGGGAATGGAGGGTCCAATCAGGTCTGCCTGAGAAACAGATACAGGTGAAACTCAAAAAATTAGAATATGGTGCAAAAGTCCATTTATTTCAGTGCAGCAACTTAAAAGGTGAAACTAATATATGAGATAGACTCATTACATGCAAAGCAAGATAGTTCAAGCCGTGATTTGTCATCATTGTGATGATTATGGCTTACAGCTCATGAAAACCCCAAATCCACAATCTCAGAAAATGAGAATATTCCATGCAATCAATAGAACAAGGATTGTACATAGAACAATATCAGACCTCTGAAAAGTAGAAGCATGCATATGTACTCAGTACTTGGTTTGGGCCCCTTTTGCAGCAATTACTGCCTCAATGAGGCGTGGCATGGAAGCTATTAGCCTGTGGCACTGCTGAGGTGTTATGGAAGACCAGGATGCTTCAATAGCGGCCTCAGCTCTTCTGCATTGTTCGGAGTCATGTCTCTCATCTTTCTCTTGGCAATGCCCCATAGATTCTCTATGGGGTTCAGGTCAGGCGAGTTTGCTGGCCAATCAAGCACAGTAATCCCATGGTCATTGAACCAGGTTTTGGTGCTTTTGGCAGTGTGGGCAGGTGCTAAGTCCTGCTGGAAAATGAAGTCAGCATCCCCATAAAGCTCGTCTGCGGAAGGAAGCATGAAGTGCTCCAAAATCTCCTGGTAGACGGCTGCGTTGACCCGGGACTTAATGAAGCACAGTGGACCAACACCAGCAGATGACATGGCTCCCCAAATCAACACAGACTGTGGAAACTTCACACTGGACTTCAAGCATCTTGCAGTGTGTGCCTCTCCATTCTTCCTCCATACTCGGGGTCCTTGGGCCTCTCCATTCTTCCTCCATACTCGGGGTCCTTGGTTTCCAAATGAGATGCAAAAGTTGCTCTCCTCAGAAAAGAGGACTTTGGACCACTGAGCAACAAACCAGGTCTGTTTTTCTTTAGCCCAGGTAAGACACTTCTGACGTTGTTTGTTGTTCAGGAGCGGCTTGACAAGAAGCCCATGTCCAGGATCCGTCTGTGTGTGGTTGCTCTTGATGCACTGACTCCAGCCTCAGTCCACTCCTTGTGAAAGTCCCCAACACTTCTGAATGGCCTTTTCTTGACAATCCTCTCCAGGCTGCGGTCATCCCTGCTGCTTGTGCACCTTTTTCTTCCACACTTTTCCCTTCCACATAACTTTCTATTAATGTGCTTTGATGCAGCACTTTGGGAACACCCAACTTCTTTTGCAATTACCTTTTGAGGCTTTCCCTCCTTATGGAGGGTGTCAATGATGGTTTTCTGCACAACTGTCAGGTCAGCAGTCTTTCCCATGACTGTGATTCCTACTGAACCAGACTGAGAGACCATTTAAAGGCTCAGGAACCTTTTGCAGGTGTTATGGCTTAATTAGCTGATTAGAGTGGGACACTTTGAGCCGAGAATATTCCACCTTTTCACAATATTCTCATTTTCTGAGATTGTGGATTTGGGGTTTTCATGAGCTGTAAGCCATAATCATCACAATGATGACAAATCATGGCTTGAACTATCTTGCTTTGCATGTAACGAGTCTATCTCATATATTAGTTTCACCTTTTAGTTGCATTACTGAAATAAATGAACTTTTGCACCATATTCTAATTTTTCGAGTTTCACCTGTAGGTGGACCCGATTAGGCCTCTTTTGTGAAAGGGGACTTATATAACTCAGGAGCTAAGATCTCCCAACCAACAAATGCTGGGAATAAATTTTATTGTTTTGAGAATTTCTTAAAAAGTATTTGCAGTGACCATATTGGCCCTCTTGCACCTTTGCATTCTTCCATCTCAGTGCAATATTCATATTTCATCTAGGCTTAATATTTCTGGAAGTAACAGGACATTAAAGTGTTCTCTCTTTGAAGCTAAGCTGATGATGGGAGGGTGAAAAACACAGATTAAGGAAGGCTGAGCTCGGAAATCCCTTGGATGAAGTTCAACTGTTTTTTTAGAGAAGATAATTTCAGACAAATTCCCTCTGGACGTTAATGAGTGAGATTTACACGGTGCAATTGCAGCCGATAGACATCAGATTAAGATGAACAGTCCAATACACAATGCTTTCATGTGTCTCTATTAGTGATAGATTCCATAAAAGCTTTGACCTTCCTACAAAGGGTCTAAGAGGGGCCCATTCAAACTTACCTTACTAGTGCTAAAGAGTAGCCAAAACTGATCTTTTAGACGTAGATGGAACCTTGTGGGCTGAGTTGGCCCCTGACTTCTTATATGACTGGTATACTAAAAAAAATGAGATGTCCCTGCCATATTTTCTGACTCTGTTTCTCACCTACCTAGGAGCTCCTCCTGTGGCAATTCCCATAGTATAAAATAAATCCAGCAGGAAGAACGGGGTCTCTTCATAATGGGCACATCAGGTGTGCAGAGATCTCACCGAGTCCCAAAGAGATAGAATAAACATTTCAGGTTTGAATGGACTGACCCTTTAACCTGTTTTCTTCTGTTTTGAAATTCTGGTCCTTCCAGGGCAAGCCCCAGCTTCCTAGGTTCTTCTGATTAGCATGTTATAGAGTTGGGTTTCTCAACCAGGATTCCATGGAACTCTAGAGTTCCTCCAAGGTTGCTAGGGATTCCTTGAACAATCAGCAATTTCTACCTCTCAGATAAGTTCCCACTGACACCATTGACCTTTAAAGTGATCTGTAAGGGAATAATTATTCCCAACGACTACAAGTGTAAGGAACATTCTTCCCACTGACCTTCACACCAATGTATCATTATATTGTAGAGACAGTCGTTTTAACTAGGGGTTCCCTGAGACTGGAAAGTTATTCCAAGGGTTCCTCTTTGTTGAAAAAAGGTTGAGAAAGGCTGGTATAGACACACCTGAACAGACCGTGAAGTAAAGAGGAGACCGGTTTATAGCGGAGATTTCTAAGCAGTGATGACTGATGCCAAGCAGCAGAAGACTAACTCATAGTTGGCCAATTAGCACTTACTGCAATGGAGGCAAAAGAAGGTCAGAGCCAATAAATAGCAACAGCGTCCTTACCAGGGATTTTTTTCTCAGAGAATAGGTGCAGGAACGCTCCCCTTTTGAGTCACTACTTGTCTCCGCCCTCTACCTATCTCCAAGCGCCGTCCCTTGGTTCGACCCCCTACCCACCTCCCAGTACAGATCCTTATAGAGAATACAGAGCTAATTATCATTTTGTGGTGCTAAGTGATTCAAGATCAAGAAAAG